ATTCGACCAGACCATTTGACCAATTTGACCAGACCAGTTTGACCATTGAATTTTTGGTTGACCAGTAATTTGACCAACCCTATATATATACTACAATTATGTTGATTACAGTACACTTAAAGAAAAACCTTGTCTTGATCATATATTCTTTGAATTTTGTAATGCTTTCTAAATATCTTTCTCATTCTATACCTATAACTAATTCTATATTGGAACTAGAGATATTACTCAGGTCAGAAATATTGGTTCAGGTTAATAAGATTTGGGTCAGATATTAATCCAGGTCATGATCTGAGTTAAACAAGTTATCCAATTAGATTAGAACACGTGATAATCGATTCGTAATGGCCAATCAGAACTAAATATATCAAATAATGATATATAGAAATATGTTTAACAAACTTGTGTTCAAAACATAAAATAGAAGTAGATTTTTTTTACTCTTGAAGTTTTATAAAATAACTCTATAGATGGGTGTGTAGTATATAAAAAGATTCAATTTGAATGGATTAAACTTTGTTGGTATTGTAATTTTTTTTTTTTTGTTTCTGGATAAGTTAAACTTTTTTTATAAAATTTTATAGCAGTATAGTGATATATTTAATTTTTTGGTTATTAGTAATTTCTAGCAGTTTTTTAAGCAAATCAAGCCTTGAGTATAAAGCAAATAAAAAACTTTAACAAGTTCTGGGCTTTTCATTTAGAATTAGAAACTAGCAACTAGTGATTGGACCCAGATAGGTGCCACCCAGGTCATCCGCGAGTATACGGGTAGCCCGGGTGAAGTTTTGGCCACCCAGGTAGAAGCAGGTAAGTCACCTAATAGGTGACCCGTAAACAATAATTGTGACTTTAATCCAAATATACACTTATTAATTTCCTTCTTTTCTTAAAAAAAAAAACTTTCAAAATAGGTTTTATATTAGACACTCATTCAATAAATCAGTGGTAAAATTTTAAACATTATCATTTTAATAAAATTTCTAACTGATCCAAATAAAATTACTATTTTATTTTTATAGCTGTTTTTATAAATTCTGGAACAACTGAAAAAATTGCCGATGACCGAATTGATAAGTTACCAAGTCAGAATCAATAAGTAACTGACTTCTGAAGCTTATCGATTCGGTTATCAGCAATTTTTTCAGTTGTTCTAGAATTTATGAAAACCAGCTATAATGCTCTATTTTTACCCAGATGACTCATGAATCCGCCCAAAGGGTTGATTTTTTAACCATCTGGGTTCTATCCGGGTGGCTTATAGGTCCACCCGCAGATGACCCAGGTAGCATTTTTTTTGACAGGTCCAATTACTACTAGCAACTTGAGGATTTTTTTTTTTTTATTAATAAAAAGGTAATAAAAACAAAAATTTTATTTTATTGTGTTTTATAATTTTTTTTTTTAATTGAGAAATATTTATTCCTGCTATTTTATTATTTTAAGAAAACTAACTATCTGAATTGAATATATATAAATTTTACATCACTAAAATAAGTAGATAAATAATTTTACTATATTTAATTAGCAGTATATAATTAATATAAATAATAAAATCTAGAAATGAATAATAAAAGGTATTGTGATATGAATAATAAAGAGTATAATGATGAGAATAATGAAAGATATTGTGATAAGAATAATGAAGAGTATAATGAGAATAATGAAGAGTATTATGATGAGAATAATGAAGGGTATTATAATGATATGGAGTTAGAACATGTAGACACTAACTTGGAGTTGGTGAAATTAGAGCATATAAATGCCGATTTGGAGATAGTAAAATCAAAGCATTTAGAGATAGAATCTAGTAATTATATAGCTAGTACAGATGATTCAAATGTTAGTGAGATTTCACAGTCATTTACAAATTAGCATAAAAAAAGAGCTGGAAAATTAGGAAATAGTCTTATTAAATCTTACAAAGTAACATTGTTTAATAATATAGAATATTGGACTTGTTGGTACAAAATCTGTCCACAGGTAAAATATAAAAAAGATGGCACTACATCAAATTTATAATAACATTTGAGAAGTAGACATTATGTTTCAAGAGTGATAGTGGAAAGTAAATATGTAAAAATTAAAAAACAAAAAGGTAGAAGCAAATATGAATTTCATATAATGCCAGAATCTTCACAAGAAACATTAGTAAAGGCATTTAGCAAGACAACAAAATATTCATCTAATCACCTAAAACAAAAAAAACTTAATAGCAATCTTGCTGCTTTTATTACTGATAAACTCCAACTTTTTTCAATCCTAAAGTCATGAATCTTAATAAAAATAATAGAAGACCTGAACTCTTAAGCTAGTGTTTTAAGCAATAATTAGTTGAAAGAAATTTTAATTAATGCTAAGAATAGAATTTTGCAAAGCATGTATAAGCATATATATGATGATAATGAAATTTGCTATATTTTATTTACTACAGATATGTGGACTTTGGATAACAATGATCTGTATATTGAACTTATATTTCATTGGGTGAATAGAGACTTTCAAGTACGAGAAATAATCGGTGAGATTTTGTATCTCCTATACTCTCATACAGCCGAATGACTTGTAGACAAAATAATTAAATTTTAAATAAATTTCATCTTATAAGTAAAGTTGTGTGTAGTACAATCAATAATGATGTGAACATTAAGTCATGTTTAAATAAGTTAGAGGATAGGTATAATATATCTAAAAATTTTTGTTTTGGTCATACCTTATATCTTGTAATAAGTAACACATTAAAGAAATGTCCTGAAATAGTCAATCTTATTAAGAAATGCAAGGATATTGTGTTGCATTTCAGTGAAAATTTGAAACAAAAACAGTTTTTATCAACAGCTCAAATAATAATAAACGATTGAAATAGGTTTTTTTCAGTAGTTTGTGATGTTTTAATATATTAGAACTTGATATTTTATCTATTAAAAAGATAGGTTATTCTTAAACTGGCACTATATAGATATAAGTTTTTTTTGGTTGAGGACAATGAGAGTAGTTCATTAAAAAGTTATGAAAAAAAAAAACTATCATCTGAAGAGTGGGAAAAAGTAGGTAGGTTAGTTGAACTATTGTATCCATATGAGGTTATTTCAACACAACTATCTAGTTCGCAGTATCTGATGCTTTTACAAGCATGGTTTGCAATCAATTATATTAAATCAAAAATTAATAATGTATTAATATCTAATATATTGATATCTAATATTAATATTAAAAATTTTGAAAATTACCTTTTTGAATCAATTCAAACATGGTTTTCAGAACCGATCTAATTAATTCAACTTGCTACTTTTTTTGACTCTCAAACTAAGGATATGCAAATTTTTACAGAAGAGAAAAAACATTATACTATCTTGGAAGCACGTATGGAGTATAATGAATTGGCTTTAAATGATGAGTTTAAAAAAAGTCAACCAAATTCTTTAACATCTGACAATATTAAGGAAGATATTTTTTTTATTTCAGCACCTACTTGCTCTCAACCAAGCCAAAAAAACAACAATGAATTCAATTCATATTTACTATTACTAAGAGTCTCAAGCAAAACAAATATACTTCAATGGTACGCATCAAGAAAAGCAAAATATCCAGTATTTGCAAAATTAGCTTGCAAATACTTATCAATTTCAGCAACATCCATACTATCCAAACACCTTTTTTCATCTGTGGGTCTTACTATCACTGAAAAGAGAACAAATCCTAATCATCAATTTGTTAGTTCAATTTTGTAATTTTGTATCTTAAAGCGGCTCTAAAACTTTGGCCGATTTCACATATTTTCAAATAGATAAATTTTTATTAAATTTTGATTTAATAAAAATTTAAATATAGAATAATAATAAAAAAAATAAGAAGTATTATCTTTGCTTTTCATAATTTTTTTTGTTGTAATTTTCTACTGTAAGTTATTTGATATAGTATTTGCAGATAAAGATAATTTAAAAACTACCTGATTAAATATGAATTGGTATTTATACAGTCAACTCTCTTTAAACCGAACAGCAGGTTCTTATATGTAAAAATATTTAAAAGTTTAGTTTACAAAGAGTTATTATATTGCTAATCCGAACTTAATAATAAATTTTACAAATGTTCTGAAGCTTTATATTCAGTTTTCACAGAGTTTATTAAGTGTTCAGTTTATCCAAGTTCGGTTTAAAGAGAGTTGACTATATTAACTATTAGTAAACTTGATCTTATTATAACTTTTAAAATTTAATTCTATATTATGATTTTTTTTTTTTTTTTTTTTTTTTATTTCTTTGACGGATCTTGCCGTGACTTGATTTCTTAGTTTGTAGTACATTT